GATGGGCAGAGCCAGTGTAATGGGTTCATAATGTGCACCTAGGCATGTAAAGATTATCGCTAAGGCCAGCTATTTCATATACATGAAGCACTTTGCTTTCACGGCTGATAGGATAATTGTCCAAAGCGGCCTGGAAACTTTAGTACTATGCTGAAATGTATACCTCTACACTTATTACTACAATGCACTGCATGCACAAATATACTCATAACTACGTTATAGATGTGACAGGGCGTTCGGTTATAGGAAAATAATCAAAATAGTCGGTTTATTCATCTTAAACCACGGCAATTTTCTCGTATCACTTGAGATATGGCAACTGTTAACAGTCGTTCCCTCTCTTCTCTTTTCGCTCTTGAAGTTTACAAGTCAAAAAAAAAAAAACGCCGCTTGTTATGTTACTGAGGAAGTAAAAACTTCTCTGTCCTGAAGACTTTCACATGGTGGAAAATGTACTGACCATTACAAAGCACTGACACTTGAGACTCAACAATAAATGTTAAGCTTTGAGAATTCAGATTGTGATATTTAATGGGCTTGATATAGTTGTGAACAGCACTTCAGATTATTGGAACTATTTTTCAGTTATCTAACCTGCCATAGAGAATCTATAGGTAAGCTAATGCTACATGCCATATTGCACTAGAAGTGATGACATTTTTTTTGTTACAATATTGTAATGTTGCAAACCATGGAAAAAGCTTAGGCAGTTACTAGAAGGGCACATGTCTTTGTGTCAGCGTAGCAAAAAAAAAAAAAACTGATGTATGACAATATACAGTATGAACCTTGACCTTTGGGTACGTGCATTACGGCATTTTTCATGTTGGTGTGTTTGATATGTGAATTCAGTTTGTCTTGTTATGTGTGTATGCTTATACTTGCCTGAATTTCAGTTTTCTGAGGGTGTTTGTGGGTGTGTGGATGTGTGTGTGTCTATGTATGTGTGTGTGAAACGGTGTGTGATCTGTTTGATCACCCCTCAGACTGTTTAATCAGCATGTCTAGTGAATATTCATGACTTAATTATCCATTTAGGTCGACACCCATATCCAGGCCAGTTAGTGTTTGAATGCAAATGCATGCACGTGTGTGTGTGTGTGTGTCTTCTGTTTGCTTTCATCAAATCCAGTGAATAAGCATGTTTACTCTCAGTTGAGCTGACCCAATAAGCTGCCAGCATGGGTGCGTTTTAAATCTGGCTGTTTAGTTTTACAATTTATGAATTTACTTCTGTTTGTAATGATATTCCAGAAATTCAGTGAACCTTCTACACTCACCGTCTAGCAGTGGGAAGTGCATTTGATTTGCAGCCTTTGTTTTGTTCACAGATATTAATGCCTATGCAGATATTAACACTGATGTTTGATGCAAATTTCTTGTGATGAACTCCATACAGTTTTTTTTTTATTATTATTCTATGTTTAGCAGAAGCATGATTCTCCACCAGGGGAAACTCTTGCTAAAGTATCTTTTGTGTGCGTCTCAGTGTTATGAGGTGGAAATCTACTGTAAATAATACATCTTATTGCACTCACAAATTCATTCGTTCACCAGTAATAACTACTTTATCCTAATTAGCGTTCTGGTGTATCCAGAGTAATCCAGGAGCATTGGAGCAAGGTAGAAATACATCCTAATTGAGACACCTAATTGAGCAAGGATAGTTTGTCACATTATAGACACATTATAGACTGTATATACTTGCAGTCTCTGTTATAGATTATAGGTAGGCATAGGATTTAGGTTATATTACTTCAATATCTTTTTGAACTAGATGTTGAGAGGATCTTATCGTGAGTCCTCGCATTCTGACTTATTTTACGATATTAACATTACAGTACAGGATGTCTTGTTATTTATTATACCACACAGCGCTATTGAATTCTCAAATCTGTTTGGTCAGAAGGTGTTGAATTTCCTATAACAGCATGGCCCTAACGTAGTGTCAGAGTACACACAAGTATATATGAAGACGTTATTCACAGCGACTTGCATGGTGGACACTCAGATAATTAATAAATAATAAATAAATAATTCCTTGTTATTTAACAAAGAAATACATATAAACATTGCCGTGTACGTTTTTGGAAATCCGAGCTACTTGTGGAAGAGCATTATTTTGAACATGCGGCATGTTGTATTCTTCTCCGCCACATGGATTAACTTAAGTGCACTACCTAAAACACTTTAACTAACAATATAAATGCCCTGACAAGACAACTGGCTGACAGTCATTCACTAGCTTCCCACCAAATTAGAGAACATATACAGTAAAGCCTGCCTGTCACCGTGTAGCTGACCTTCTTTCAGCTGGTGTGTGATGATGTTCGACGTGTCTGAGCTGGTGTATGACATTTGCATACACATTTCCCGCCATTTCAGACCCTCCTGACACAACAGTGACCTGTAAATTACTATTACAGGATTGTCAAAGAGACTCACAGCTTTACTTTATAACTTTACTATAACTTTTTTTGTCTTTGCGTCTTTTCATTTTCTCAGTTATGTGACAAATTACTTTTTTACACTTTACTATGTTCAACACAGAGAAAATAAGAGAGGTCGGTGACAACAAGTCTTTCGTAGCTGCTATAACATAAGTGATAACACAAACTAACTTGTTTCGCAGACATTCCTCAACGTTAAATGTAACTATAAATGGACAAAATATATGAAGTATGGTTTGTAAAATGAAAACATTAATTGTTAGCAAATTGCAGTGGTATAAGTGGAATAAAACAAGTTGGGAGGAAAACACTACGACAGGGTGGTAACAGCCTGACTTTAACACTACCATTGATTATTTTCCTCTACCCACACACCCCGTCATGTTTTATTCCTTATTTATATATATATTTGTATTAAAATGTAAATTTCTTATTACTTATTGTAGAAGTAACTTAACATGACATAAAAATATGTCCCTCTTCACCCTCTATTTTTAACCTAGGCATGTATGCATGTGTGTGTGTGTGTGTGTGTGTGTGTGTGTGTGTGTGGCATGAAGGGTCAAGGCTGACTAGGATCCTCATAGCCCAAAAATTCTACCACCCCGAGTGAGCAAAAGAAAGGAGATAGCAGGAAACACCAGCACGCCTCTTCCACCCAATCTCCTCTGTCTTTCTGTCACACACAAACCCACACGCAACACGGAGTCTAAGCCTAATCTCACTCTGCACATGTGAGCTATGAATAATAGATTAGGGCCATAGACAGTTCAGTTTTGTCCCAGTGACCCAGATAAATGTCTCTCTCTCTCTCTCTCTCTCTCTCTCTCTCTGACACTCCCGCTTATGCGCCTTGTGTCAATTGTATATCTTCTGTCTCCATCTAGTGGGAGATTTGGATCATCTCCACAGAGTCATCTCTGTTTTGCTTGACCTTGCCAAATGAAGGATCTGTGAGAAATTTGAAAGGGTTTGTGGTAAAGAAGGAAACATCTGTTTATTGCAGTGCACAATCTAGAGGAGTTCTCTCTGTCTCACTCCCTTTTCCCCAAAAAGGGATGTTTCCAAATCTTGGTTGAGTTACTGCTGTGCAAGCATTAAGCAACTGAACACAGCAATGCAACTAAAGGGCAAGTGTTACTTGGCATGGCTGCCAGCCGGACATATTTTGGCCAGAGCTATGAAGGCTGCGATAATGGTTTCAGTCCTTTCCTGTCTATTACAGTTTGTCTTTTCCTGTTTTCTGTTCTTGTGAATAGAATGCGGTATGTACACAAACACACAGACACACACAGACACACACATACACACACGTACATGCCCTCAGACACATTCAGACGCATTTCCTTTAGAACATTGCATTGTGGCATTGCCGCCTTTCCGCTTTGGTGTTAAGTAATGCAAAGTAATGTCATGACTCTTAAATCAACGAATCTATGGTCTGGGGGGCTGAACGTTTTGCTTCACACATTAAACGTGCATTGTTTGCCAGAAATTCCAGTCTTTCCACAAGATTTGTACTGATCACACAAATGCTTTTAACCCAGTTTAACATCAGTTTCTGGCTTGTATTGAATCACACATTACAACATGTGTGTTTAGCAAGGCACTTTTTGGCACCAGTGAAACAGTGTGTCTTTTATTTTCATCCATGTGATGGAATGTAGCTGTTTTCTGGCCTTTATGACAAGAACAAGATTTTTTGACACTCTTTAAAAAATTCCCTTAACACACCTATGAGGTCATCACAAAAATACTTTCCCTACTGCTGGAGTGTCATTTAGCGTCATCCTCCATGCGCACGTAGTTGTGATCAGTAGCGTGCTTAGATATATCAAAGAATGTTGACAATGTTGACTTCATAACCACTTTCATGCCACTATCATAACCATTCATCTCATAATTTCCAAGCAAGCATTATTTAAAATTTTACTGTTGCTTTGTCTTTGCTTGTTTTTCTTCCTTTCCGTGCTCTTTTCTTCCTCGGCGCCTCTCCAAACATCTTCCTCATTATCATGGTTACACTGCCCTTTCACTTTCCTTTCCTCTATATCTGTAAGGAAAGAAAAACAGCATAAAATATAGAGCATGAAGAAATTCCCCTCTTACAACTACAGATTCTTTTAGAAAATTTTAACTAGATGTGGACAAGTGTCCATACTTCTTATCTAAGACCTAAACACATGTAAGTAGCCAGTGGACAAAACAGACTTGAAAAGAAGCTTATCTGGGTATCTGCAGCAACAGGTCAGTGAGCTACACTGAATAAACTGATTGACATTTTAAAAATATAATTTAGCCCAGCTGACAAGCCTGTCAAGGCCTGATTTTGTTGTGTCATTTTCCTGCTTGAAGCTCTATAAACTTAAATCATATTCAATTAGTATCCTCATTTCTTGAGCACCTACATAAAGTGAAAAGCCAGACAGGTGAATGAATTAAAGGGAAATCAAAAAAGGGGACTCTGTTATTGTTCTTTTGGCTGCTGCCTTTAGAGGTGGCCTACTGATTTGGCACAGGTTTTAGTGCACCCCTAGTGGCTGGGGTTGGTGCCCAACATGGGGCTTAAACCCATGATCCTGATAGCAAGAGTCCCATGCTCTACCAACTGAGCTAGCTGGGCACTTGTCTCTGTTATGCTATGGAGAGCATGATTTGAGCCCATTTGTCCAGTTAGAGGGAAGTGTCACTACAAATCAGTACATTATTTTGTCTGATCACCTTCATCCTAATGAAACATTTGTCTACTGATATGAGTGGTCTATTCCCGGATGACTCCGCCTCCATCCACAGGGCATGAGGGCTCAGTGAATGCTTAGATGAGGATGAACATGGTGTAAAGCATATGCTATGACCCTACTGTTACCAGAACTCAACCCAGTTGAACATCTATAGGTGATTTTGGACTGATGTGTTAGACAGTGCTCTCTAACACCATCATCAAAACACCAACTGAGTGAATATCTTTTGAAAGAATGGTGTTCCTCACTCCAGTACAATTCCAGAGACTATGTCAAGACACATTGAAGCTGTTCTGGTGACTCGTGGTGGCCCAGCACCTTACTAACACATTTATAAGTTGTTTTTTTAATTTGCAAATGAACGAGTCTAACTCGTCATAGTAGAAGCATTTGAGGGTGTATGAGCATATAGGTTATAAATATAAACACCGGGAAAGATTAAGTGGATAAGCATGTAGAGTATAAGGATAAACAACAGTTCTAATTGCACAGTGCAGAAGATATAAGTGCTAATGTTGGTGGAATGAGCGAGCTAAAATTCCATTCAGTCCCATTTAGGATGATTTAGTCCACTGAGTATAACTTTATGTAAGTCTTAATGAGTCCATTGATTGTTGGAGAGTACAAAAGCCCAGCTTTGGCTTTGTTTCAGTGGAAGTGTGTGTGTTTGTGTATGAGCATGTTTTTCTATCTTGGTGGGGCCCAAATGTACCAACAAGGATAGTAATTATTTGAAAGTTTCGAGGGACATTTGGCTGGTCACCATGAGGAAAAAACCACAGCTTTTCTTATCTTAAAGAGTCCAAACTTCTCTTTTTGGTTACTGAGGTTAAGGTTTGAGTCAGATTTAGGTGTAGGTGTAGCACTTCTTCTATTTTTAAGCATTTATTTATAGAAAAATGATCTGCCAGTAGAATAAGAAAATACAAAGTGTGTATAAAAACGTCTAAAAACATGCTACATTATATTTGATTTATGAAAAATAGTGTGTGTTCATTCCAGTGTCAATGTAACAAGAAATGCATTGAATGTACACACAGCCTCAGAATGAGTAATGCTATGTTTTTGCTCAATAGGGGAGCTTTTAGTCTTAGTATGGTGGAGTAATATATGTTTCAAGGGCAAAGCGTGTTTGTGTCTGTGTGTGGAGGTCTGTCAAGTGACAACACTGATGTCAGCATTATGACTTGTCCCAATTACATCATCAGCATTGTTCTCATATGACTAACATCAGTCAGCACTCGTACATACATCCTGGCTTGAGCGTGCCTGACCCAGTGGTGGTGCGTTCACACAATCTTTCTTTTTACTATATTATTTTTTTCAATATATGATGGTATCTGCATCTAAAATTCAATTCATATCACCAATTATTACACCATGTCATAGATTCTGTACCACTGACATTTGCGTGATGCCATGTAATCATGGTAGTCTGATAAAACCAAGCCTGCCTTGAGTCATTTATCCAAGCAATATAGAAGTACACTTTTCTTCAATTTTCTTTCGTATGTTTTTTAAAAAGTAGGCTAGCCATTCAAGTGAGGTGCTGTACCTAAAACTGTTACAAAAAAAAAACTTACGGACCATTAACTCCGTACGGACTACTTACAGAAAACTGCAACATATCAACACATTTCTTTGTTTAATAACAACACGTTTTTAAAAAATCGGTTCATTATTAGCCTTAACTTGTGTAGATCATCTGCCATAAAAGTCCTTCTGAATGTTTTACTATAGAAACAATAGCATGCTAGAACGAGCGCCTTAATACAAACCTGTGATGTGAATTACACCCGGTCCTACAGTCAGAGCTGCTAGTTTGCTAGTTTAATTCAAATGAATGGAGGCTAGTCTTATGTAATCCATTTTTCAACTCAGCACTCTCTCTCTCTCTCTCTCTCTCTCTCTCTCTCTGTGTCCCCTGTCTCCCACCACATTCCCTCGCCACACTCTATTTCCTCCCCTTTTCATTCCTTTCCATTGAGAAGCTTCTGGTACTTGCCCCCCACTATCATCTTGCCATGGTTTAATGAGATTGAGTGTGCTGTCTTATACATATGTTTAATTTCTTTCTAGCTACTTGTTGTGTTTTCACTGTTGTAAGGTATGACCAATGTGTCTTTGGGTTCTTTGCTGCATACCTCATTACCCCATTGATTGCACTTTGGATAATAGCCAGTCACTAGCTCGGATCCCCCGGATTGTGGGTGTTGATTGGTTTACAGAGGCCACTGTGTTCGCTGATTGGTTTAGGTTTGCAGGACACACACACATTGGCTGTGCTTTCTAAGCTCTGCGAGGCGAATGGATGCCGCTTCTGCTGGCCAAAACCATGGTCTTGCTGTTTAAGCAATCACACCAGGGGTGAAAAAAAAAGTTGTGCCCTTTCTCGTGCTCTCAGTTTCTGTTCCGTTCTTTCTTTCTTACCGGGAAGCTGTGGAAATGTCAAGCTATTTTATTCTTTTATATCTCTGGCTTTGAACTTGGACCACTTTGTGCTAATCTTTTCATCTTACTGCAGGTCTTTCCTAAATGGATTCAGCTGCTTTTGTGATTTTAAGGATTTAAACCCAAGGGAGTGGGTCCTGAACTTCAGGCTGCTATTCAAGTTCCCTGGAACTCTTTCCGGCAGTTGTGCTTCTGCTCTATAGTATAGTGACCAAGTAGTAGTAGCTTTGAACCTTAGATTTAGAACGAACCAGTTGGCACTTCTGAACAACACTCTAGACCTGTCTCAATGATTTCTCCAATGGAAATTATTCTCAACCTGATAACACCAGACTCCTCTCCATCTACCTCTCCAACAAATACAGTGAGTTCTTTTGTGTGCATCAAGAATTGTATCTATTTCTAGATCTTCTTGTGTGTCTTCACATTATATCTCTATACATTTTTGAGGTGTATGATATATATTTATATGTGTGGTTGAATGTGGCAAGCCTTTAACAAATTCAGACTTTGTTTTGACGTAATCTTTGATGAAAGACTTTGTTAGGCCGGCAGTGCACAATTTCTTTTCACTTGCCCAATTTTATGCCAACATTAGTGTCATTTTTGTTCACACTAACGTCATTACTGAAAGAGCTGTCAAACAAGCTTTTTGCAGTCAAACTTAGCTCCTTGTGTGTGTGTGTGTGTGTGTGTGTGTGTGTGTGTGTGTGTGTGTGTGTGTGTGTTAGTTACATGCATGGCCTCATTCAGGATTAGGTTATATAATTGTCCATTGACAGTGAAAAGGTCCATTGTTGGTGACAAGAAAAAGAAACAAGAAAGAGGATTTCTGAAATTCTGAGCGGGACTTTGAGCATGAGGGTCTTTAACCGGGGCAGAGAGAAAGAGAGAGAGAGAGAGAGAGAGGGAGAGTTTGGCACCAGCACTTTGGCTTGACTGTTTCCTCTTTTTTTTTGTCTCATCTAGTGGTGCATTAATATTGACACAGTCTGTGGTCTGCTGGCTTTCGAGAACACTCTTCTAATATGTGCATAATTTTACATTTATGAGGCTTCCGTAGATACTTTAACACAGATTCTCAAGCAAAACACACACACACACACACACACACACACACACACACACACACACACACACACAGAAAAGCTTATTTAGCAAGAGAATTTCTTATAATAATTTCTAATAAGTAGAATAATTCATGGTATTTGGTGGTATGTGAATGTCAGAGGATGTTGAATTATAGAGCTTGTCATTATGACATTAATATAAGCTTTACAATCAAGCTGAAATCAGTAAACTCTGAAAAAATGAAGAAGTTTGCATTAAGAAGTGCATGGCTGATGTACATGAATTATTAACCTTTGCAGTAATCTGAACTGAACACATGGTATCTGTTATCTGTACATGTTCTTGCATTTGTTACTGTTGTTTAGAAGTAAATGCGCAACAGCGGTGTAATAATTTTTACAGTTGTACCCTTAAGTGGATTATTGTCCTATAACAGCATGTCCCAAAGCGCTTTATTGTTTACAGCCAACTATTACGATTTTTTTATTTCACATGGGTGACTTTCGCTCTCTCGCTCTCTCTTTCTGAAGAGGCAAAAAACAAAAAAAAAAAAGCTTGTCATGCTATTGAGAAACTGAAAAGCATAAAGTCCCCTGTCCTGAAGACCCATGTCAGAAAACTTACTGACCATTACAAAGTGCTGACTCCCTCTCTAAATGTTACATGAAAAGCCTGCTTACAGAAAACTTAATCATTGATTATGCATTTTCTTTGATAACAACACCTTTATAAATCCATTTATTATCCATAGATTAGATTAAATTATCCTCCATACAACTCCCTATAAAAGAGCTGTTACTGTAGAAACGATAACATTAGAATGAATCTTTGAATTACAGCCAGCTCTGCTATCAGAACTGCTGTTAGAGAAAATTAATCAATATCCCGTTGACCAATTAAATTCTAAAACATTTTTTTGTCAAAGCTGAGATTTGGTACAAATTGTGATTGTTTGACTTGACTGAGCATTGGTATGAAGTGTGTAATCCAAACATTGATAGATTGAACAGATACTAAGTTCTAAACAAATACAAATACAGATACGCATAGTAAATGCACTATTTGTTTTTTTTCCCCCATAGAGCATTCATTCATTCATTTATTCATCCTTAGTAACTGCCTGGTCAGGGTCAGTTACAGGGTTTAGGCCACGTACACTTCATGTTTCAGTCCGAATGCAGATACGGATATGAATATTTGGAGTGCTAAACAGATACAGATATACTGTGGATATAGATATAGATATGAATAATTGGTATACTGAACATACACTGATACAGTTACAGATAGTGGCATTGTGTTACACCTCTAATCTGCAATCATAAAAAGACTTCATAAATTACTCCAAGATGAACCTTGT